AAAATATCAGAGACGATGACATCAGACACTCTGATATTTTTGTGAACCACAATGTCCAGCACGTCACCATTTCCCACAGGGGAATAATGAGTGGGGCACTGTGGTGCTGAGATTTCGAAGGCACTCTTATCAAATAAATCAACGAGTTTCAAGCCTGAGTGGTCTGAAACTCTGCTATTCCAAAATGGGTGCTTAGCATTCAAATCACCTGCCAAAATAGACTTACGTCTAAAGCTTAAGAGCTCAGTGATGTCAGTGTCACTCCAGGCTCTGCCTGGGGATTTATAAACAGCTGCAAGCAGTACTTCGCTGTTACCAATTGGTATGCAGACCCCTGTCGCTTCTACTGAAACAAGGGGTGGTAGGTCTACATGGTTATGGGGAATGCCTTTTCTTACTGCAACAGCAGTTCTGCCCTTTCTGCCCGAGTGGCGGTCGATTCTATAAAAGTGGTAATTTGGAATAAAGAACCTTTCATGCGGATTCAGATGTGTCTCTGAAAACAGGGCCACATCTACGTGTAGATCTTGCAGCTGTTTACTGAGCTCATAGCGCTGCCTCCCAATGCCGTTCCCATTAAATGCTATGAACACTAGTGGCCATTCTGTTTCATAAGGTTTAGAACAATTTTAGTAATGGCCATTAATTTGTCCTCCTCGGACACTGAACCACTGACCTCTGTCATAATCTGCTGTACTACAGTCACTACTCTCAACATAATGTCGAGAGACTGACTGTTAGATGAGTAGCCTGAATTGACAGGCCTGTTTCTTTCTGCAGGGCAGGGGCCAGTACAATCTGCTTCTTTGTTGTGGCTGAAGCCACCGGAACATGGCTTTCCTGAGGGCTCTGTTGCTGCTCTGCTGTACTACCTCGGAGTGCCGCCGCGAAGGAGACACCTGGAGTGACAATGGCTGAAGAGAACACCCTCCCCATAGTTTTGGACATTCTCTGAACCTTCCTTCTCTGTTGCTCTTCCTTGGCATGCTTGCAACATCATTAATATTTATCTTGTTATATAATACTTTCAATTTTTAATTTTCATATAATCTGAACTTTTGTATTTTTTACATAAGCATTTTTAAAATTGTACCATTAATAGGGTTATATGGGTTATATCCATTTTATGGTTGCAGTTAAATGGTAGATTTTTGTTGATATGTATTTGCCTGATGATGGCCGTTAGTGGCTGAAACATGTAGCAAAGCCACAGCTGAACGCTGACTTTGATGTTTTACTATTTGCTGTGTTGTGACGCTTCATTAAAGAGTTGTATGTTGCAGCACAGCAGGTTGCACGAAATTAAGAAATAACTGTGGTCTAATTTCACTTGGACAAATTGCAGAAAACCACAAAGCTTCTATAAGGATCGCTGATCTCATGGCTGTGATTTAAATATTATACTCCTCTGGGGTGTGGCACTGTGTAGCCTAATATTGACATTTAAGAGGAATCTGCTACCTCCATGATGAGGGCTGGAGAGAAAGAATGTGTTGCCTCAATCTTCAGGGTAGAGGAATACCAGAGTACATGGTGTTACACCCCAGAACACAGTAAGCTCACTGCCATAAGAACCTAAATTGCACAACAGACAACGAAGCAGCTTCTTTACAGATGTGAGTATAGCTTGTCATTCCTCTGCCAATCCGCTCAGTACCTCATAATAATCATACTGCTATAACAGTTGGATTAGCAAATTATACTGCTGACAGAAAACAGGAGGGAGGAAATATGTGACTACATACTATCCACTCTTTCTTTCATCGCCAGACTTTTTGTATATTAAGGAGCTATATACGGACAGAAGAATGAAGCATATGAAATGTACAGTTTACTAACATATTCAAAGTTCAACCTATATCAGCTTCCTCAGTCTCATGTTAACTTCCTTATTTACTGATTCTACAGTCAGCTGAGTGCTCGCAGATAAAGTATTATCCAGTGCCACCTAAGGAAGAGCTGAAGGAGCTCTTGGAATCACAAATGTACCATGCCAGCCAGAAGTCCTATGAACATAAGCAAAAGTGTAAAAAAAATCAGTAATGGAAGCTGGCCTAGTATATAAAAGAACATAGCATTTGAAGGAGTAAGCCCCTGGGTAATCTGGGGCTCGCAGCCAGATTTGAACATTAATATGAGTATTGAAAATTGCAAAGCTGAACCAACTGAACTGCATGTATGCGTCACTTCATAGTGCAACATCTGAACAATAAAGATTAATCTGGAATGTCAACATTAAAACAAAAAATCATCTAGACTGTACCAGCACATTATCAAAATCTACTTGCCTATTACCACACAGTATGCTTTATACCTGCATTTCTCAACCTCTGGTCCACGATGATGGAACAGGTAGTCCACAAGCAGACTTAAATTACATTAAATTAAAAATTATCCAACCAAAAAAAAAATTAAAATTAAATAAGCAAGTAAAAATTAATTATATCATATTCTTTGTTTGTTTAATAAAGCTTAAAACTTTGTTCAATGATGATTCCCTTTTAATAGTTTATTTCCAATTTAATTAATTATGTTTCCATATGTATTCAAAACATGCTTTTAGACTTATTACATTTAATATCGCGTGCAGTGGAAAATCCCAATCAGAATACCCAGCAAATATGCTTAAAAGAAACAGCATCATACGTAAATCTACACTTCAAGAAGCTTCATCGTGAATGCCTAAGACAAACATTAAAACTAACTGTGATAGTGACAAAATTTATACAGTGAGCATTATTCATAGCTTAGGTGCATATTGTTAAAACATCTTATGTGACAGTGTTTCCTGATCGTAGTGGTGCGCCTCTGAGGATGATTCTTTTGAATCAAAACATGTAAGATGAATAAATGATGTATCCGAAGTTCCTCGCTGGATGCCCCGCGCACAAGTCAGGTCTAGGTCTCGTGCTCCCTACGCTGGGGCGCGCGTGGAAATCGCTGGGTACGCGGGTTGACAGAGGAAGATCGTTTGATCCGACAAGAGTGGTGTAATCAGCAAACTGAGTTTATTAAGTAATTTCTGTAGATTACACATGTACGCTACACCTGAGGACTGATAGCCAGGGTTCCAGGGAGGGAAGGCTGTCTTGGCTCTACCTAGCCGCTATCTCGGTCAACGACTAGTCTCTCGCTCCGTCTGCATCAGACTGTTTTTTCATCCTTTGTTTTAATAAGACACACCAGTCATAAGGAATATTTCAGAGCAGGCCTCTGTTAGTTTGCTTATTTATGTCTAGCCTCTTTTTTGTGTGGGCTTCGCTCCCTGGACCCTGTTTGTACGTGCTTTTTAGCAGCCACACAGTTGCCTAAGACGGAGGTCACACGTCTGACCCCCTTGGTTATCTCGCCTGCATGCTTGCGTCCTCATGTGTCGCTACCATATCTGTTACATTTCTATTAAAATTAAATGCTAATGAAATAACATATTAAGAGTAAATGCATATGAAATAACATAGCGTATGCAACACCTTTACCAAATGAAATAGTTCTTATACAACAACAACGCATATACGTACAACTCGTACAACATAAAGACTGAAGTGTTGTAAACTTGTATGTCACACTGGACTGATAATTATCCACTTTGTACTACATTTTAATTGGCACAGTATGTCCAAAATGTCGGTAATACCACATAGGTTTAAAAAAATAGGTCTACATAACTTACTAGTCCACAGAATTTTTTCAGATATTTTACTGGTCCTTGGACTTTAAGAGGTTGAGAAACACTGCTTTATACAAACATGTGCATACCAGATACCAGTCTCTGTAAACTCCCCCCATGGTGATTGGGTGAGCAGACTTTCAGAACTGTGGGTAGAACTGATCATTATGATTTTAAAAGCAAGTAAAGATCAAGATCTAGGTTTGCATAGCAATCACTATGGAAACTACTGTCTTCAGGGACATGACACCTTGGTTGAAATTTACCAGCATTTTAGAGGAACCTGCTGCCCCCATCTTCAGGGTAAAAGACTATTCCATTCTGAAAATGGAGGCAGAAGGTTCCCCCCAAAGTCTGGTAAATATCTAACAGACTATATGACATCATATCCCAAAGACTGCAATCTTCTCAGTGTGAAAACAAATTGCAAAACCTCATCAGTACTGCATTTAGTATTATAGCAGTGAGATGTGTTAAGCATACTGGAAGGAATGTTCATATCATCGATCACATATAAGAAAGTTAATTCAAATATAATTTTACCAGTATTTAAGATTGAAGACTTTTATAGATCATATTAAAAACATACTCACTGATTTTGTCTCCAAGTTTTACAAACATAAGGTAATGGTATGTAGTCTGCAGATGGATATCAAAGTTTAGCTCTTCACAGAATTATTAATTACACATAATAAATCAACAATAAGCTGAAACCATGCAGTACATAGACGGTCCCTGCTGTTAGTAACTGAACAAGGAAAGTAAATATAGCTCAGAGCAATATCAGATTTTGAGAACGCAAAACTGACAACAGCATTGCAAACCATGCCAAGGAATGACTGCTATCGGACAACTTACAGCAGTGAAAGAAAAACTGAAGTGGACATTCAATTTTCATTCTGATTCTGGAATGTGGTTTTGTTTGTATCTACTCTGTTTCATCCGTTAGATGGAAGTAATCATATGGGGATAGAGATTAGCTCCATCAAATAGACTAGAATAGCGTTCATATTTCCATCTGATATGCGGTAGTGTAGTTGATTGAGGCTCTATGCTGCAACCCAGGAGGTTGTGGGTTCAAGTTCTGATGAGGTCATTGGATTTTTTTTCAACTGACCTAAGCCTTTTGGCTGCACTATGGCCCTGGGGTCGACTCAGGCTCTAACAGAAATTAGTACCAGGAATTAATTAAATAATTTTTCTGGGGAGTAAAGAGCAGCTGGCGCGTAAGGCTGACAACCTTACCGCCATCTTTGAGCTGTCTAGATAATGTGGGACCCTCAACGTCTCACAACCCTATGGGCCTTCACAGCCTCTTATAGGGATAGCTTTACTTTTTTCTCTTTCTTTTTTTACCTGATGATGGAGCTAGAGTCAAATTCTGACATATTGCAGTTCTTTAATCAAAATGAGATGATGGAAAATGTGCATTATATGTGTCAGCTTACATTAAGTTACAATAAAATACCATATACATATATGGAGCACATAAAATGTTATAAAACAAGTTATACAATTTATATAAAAATAATTAAAAAACCCTCATAGTAAAGTACTTTTCCCATTTGTGTATTTGTACTTCCATGCAAATCCATGGAAAATTCACTCTTTAAAACAACATTTTTCTTCACAGAACTTGCAATCCTGTCCTTGTGGCCAGACATCTTAACATTTCAAGTTGTAGATGATATGTTAAACAGAATTCTTATATTTGTCCACAGGATAATTGTCTTTATACTGCTTGATATGGTCTTCCATTAACTTCATCTGCTTCCTGTAGGGAAATGATTAAATATTACTATATTCCTTACTTCATCTGCTTCCTGTAGGGAAATGATTAAATAATTACTATATTCCTTACTTTCTGTAAAGAAAACTACAGAAAAGATAAAATAAACCTAAGAATTAGGCAGATGTTCTGTAGCCTGAAAACAAAGATAGAACAGAGAAAGAAATGCCTCAATGTCAATTCTAACACTCACTTTCAGTGCTGAACAATATATTTTTTCACTTATGTTGTTTGTGGTCAATAACAAGGATCTCTTTATTTTAAATTCAGAAAAGCATAATACAGGTACAAGACAATCAAATAATTCTTATCTGCCTACAGTAAATTTTACAGTTTACCAAAAGGGAGTGTACTGTATGGGTATTAGGGTATTTAACAATCTTCCTCCACATTATTATATTTAAGCATCCTGTTACACTCACACAATATATATGAGACAAACTCCGTCTTAAGTGCAACAATTTTATTGTAGTTCTTTCTTCTTCCCTTCCTCCACACTACATGTTTTGGCCCTAAATGGCCATCATCAGGTGTGATTCTTACATAGCTGCTACACTGCCCGTAGTTTAAAATTTAAAATCAACAGTCTTTCCAATTATATGTATGTATAAACATTTGTTAACCTACACGCGTCAATTTGATTTCTAAAATTGGAACAATTCTAAAATTGAAGTTTAAAAAAGTGCCAATTTTAGAAATCAAACACGTGTAGGTTAGCAAAGATTTTATACATACATATAATTGGAAAGACTAGTGATTTTAAATTTTAAACTACCGGCAGTGTAGCAGCTATGTAAGAAGAATACACACCTGATGATGGCCATTTAGGGCAGAAACATATAGTGTGGAGGAAGGGAAGAAGAAAGAACTACAATAAAATTGCTGCATTTAAGACGGAGTCTGTCTCATATATATTCCTCCACATATTAAAGCTATATCTCATAATCCAAGGAAATTTGAAGCCTGTCTAAAACATTTTCTTTATACACATTATTTTTATTCCATTGATGAATATCTTCAATTTAAGGCTATTGCAAGTCAATGACATACCAAAGAATTTATATATATAGTTTAATAAATTATGTTTATTGTCACCAAGTTTTAAAACTATCAGTAATAGAACTTTTTATATTTCTGTCATCATTTTATTTGATTCTGTTTTTTGGCTTATTTGTCTTTTATATATGTACCACTCGACGTGTTCCATATCCTACCTGTTGTACTGCGGATCTATGGAATGTAAAATAAATGAATGAATGAACTTCAAGAATTTTCAGAATACCACTTCTGTTTTGTGCAGCAGCGCACACACTAGCTCAGCCATCAGGACTGTAATGGTTGGCAACATTGGCATGAATCAACCTACCAACAAATGTCTTGTCACCCTCTCTCCACCCACATCTCCATCATGACATCCCCATGCTGTACATGGCAACGCAGGCCTGACTCGGGAACTGAATGTCTTTAAATACAATGGGTTGTAAATTTTTTCATGAAGGTCATGATAACAAATGGGATAAGTAGATCTTAAAAGTGTGGTCCACACCCCATTAGGGGTCTGAGAGGCCTGACCTGACCAGGGGATTTGCAAGATTATTTCTTCTTCCTGTTATAAGGAGCAAATAATGTACTGAATCTTTTTAATATTTTACTAAATTTGTTTACTTGAAATAATGGTACAATACATTGTATTGTAAATTGGATTTGAAATTATATGCAGGTATCTAGAATAGGTACATAGAGGTGACTGAGCCATTTTTGTCAATAAACAACCGAGGTAAGAAAATATTTTGTAAACACTGTACAGGCATTAAAAAGTAATTTAAATGTGGTGGGACAAGGAGGTTGTTCAGTGTGCAATGTGTTACTAGAGGGTCCATGGCGAGAGATGAGGGGTCTTTGGGTATGCAGTGTGTTGACAGGAATGAGGGGTCCTTGAGTGTGACCTACGGGAACACCCAGAACAAGGTGACATTATAGGGAGAAGGATGATATATATAAACAGGCATGGGCTGTAGACAAGAGGAAAGGCTGTAGGGAGAAGGAAATGAGGCTCTGAGAAGTGACTAACTAAGGAATTGGAGATGTCAGTGAATGGCAATGATGGTGAAGTTCTTGGAACTCTTAGTGCTCACACTTACATGTTCCACATCTACTTACTGTTTCTTTATTGCTAGTGGGGTCGGACTAAGTCCCTTGTACTGCGCCCACTTCTGGCCTATTGTACCAGCCCCGGAAGATAGGAGAGGGTGACTGTGGAGCAATTGGTGGAATGAAGATTGGCAGGGGAAACCGAAGTACTTGGAGAAAACCTGCCCCAACACCACTTTGTCCACCACAAATCCAACTTTACCAGACCCGGGATCGAATTCGGGTCGCCGCGGTGGGAAGCCAGCCACTAACCGCTTGAGCTATGGCGCGGCCTGCATTGCATGTTACAATTCCAGGACTTGTCTTCTGGAATTAAATTGCAGAATTTTTCCACTATATACACAATGATATGGCATTGACAGCCTTATTTATGAAAATGAGGTGTACAGGATGGAGGCAAGGTCAACATTATGGCACAAAAGGATTTGTGTTGATCATCCTCTTGGTCTTAATCACAAACGATTTTGAAAAACCAGATCAAATATGGTTTGAAACCAGACAAACCTCTATGTATGCTACATGTCTGCATCTCCCAAACTGGTTATTACCTGGTTGTGATCAAGTGTGTAAAGCAGTAAATCACTCAGTATCGTTACTCCAGTACGCCCCACTCCAGCTGTACAGTGTACCAATACAGGTGGATTGCGATTATGAGCGGCTGGGATTTCACTCACTGTGTGCTGTCTTACAGAGCTCAGCTCCTCCAGGAACCCTACATTAACAGAAACAACTTCAATTAATATTCAAGGGGTTCCACAGCTCAGACAGTTAATCAGTTATAAATGGTTCTGATGATGAAAGATTACACTTAGAATTACTGGCTTTCTGGATTTCAACCACTATTTTATGATCCAAAAAGAACACAATTCAGAAACTGAATGTTTCCATCTTAAGTTAAAATGATGCATCTGTTAGATGGTGGTAATATCAATCACTGAACAAAAGCTGCGAGAAAGTACGCGTCAGGTATTTCTCCCATCTCTTACATCAAGCTTCAAAGGCCAAATTCAAATTCCTATCTTCTTCCTGAACAAATACGAAAAATAACCTATCCTCATGCAAAAAAAAAAAAAAAATCCCAAAAGAGGCCTCTTGGAACG